CGGGCATTCCCTCTCATGACATCCCCATAAACGAGATAGAGGGAAAAAAACCCACAAAAATGCGACCAACCTTTCAATGAGCACAACACGTGGGCGACACCACCCGATGTTATGGCGAATCCGTGGGGGTCATGGGCAGACGCACAGAGGCCTTTTTTAGCTGTGGTGGTGGGTTGTTGAGGTAGGGGAGACCGGCCGGTCATCCCAGGACCCGCCAAAGGTCGTATCCGCTCCACAAATTTGAAGGCCTCCTCCGGGTCCTGGTAAGCCAGAGTGGATCCATCTTCCACTTGAAAACGAAGTGTTGCAGGATAGGCTAGAGTGAATCTAGTTTTGTTCTGAAATAGGAGTGAGCAGACGATGTGCACGTTCCACCTTGCACCCCGGGCCTAGACCCAGGAGATCTGGGATGTTTATGGCGCAGATACTCGGCAGCGTGGATGGGCGGTAAGATTCGGGGAGGCCCACGATCCGCACGTTATTGCGACGTGAACGGTTCTCGAGGTCCTCGACCCGATCCAGGAGGAATTGTACTTGTTTGGTGTTAGTATGTAGCTGAGAGGCCGACGAGTCAGCTCCCTCCTCCAGGGACACTATGTGTGATTCCGCCTCTGTAATTCTCTTGGCCTGATGCAAGAGGTCCTGCCGTAAGGACTGTATGCCCTTAGAGACTGCCTTACTCATGGCGTCCTGGATGGTTGGCCGCAGCAGTTTGGCTACTTCAGCCGCAATCAGGCTGTGGTTCGACATTGCTGGCAACTCGTCATCCGATGAGGCACTGATGTCTCGTGGGTCGGGGGTTGCGACCATCTTGGTCTGGCTCTGCAGCCTTCTACTACGTACCTGGGTACCTTTGCCGCGAGGTCCTTTGCGCCGCTTCGCCAGGAACTTATCCATGTTTCCGTGGCTCAGGCAATCGTCTGCGGTGTTTATGGGCTAGAAAAGGCTGCTGATTTCAGGTTTTATATGCGGTTTTGCCCTGCCCGTGCGGGAGCTCTGCACTCTGCGTCCGCTACATCAGGCGCCGGAAACGGAAGTCTTGAATGCATTTTTAAATGTAACTCCTAAGTTTAGTGACACTTTGATCTGTACATGAATGAAACATAGTAAATTCTATGTAAAAATAATGTTGTTACCCAATTTTTTGGTGAAGTGTCTGCTCACCGACAGCTGGTATGTGCAGGCAATAGCAGGCAGGGAGCTGTTGCTGTGGAATAGGAGCAGGGAATAGGCCCCAAAAAAACTCTGTTGAAGGATGTATCTCCTACTCCCAAGTTCCAGGACTGGTTAAAGGTTATCTAAAGCCAAAACTTTTTTAAGTTTTGAATGTGGGAAATGGTTAAATCACGTTATTTTTGTATTTATTTTTTCCATTGAGAAGGTTTCCTTTCACATCCAGTCCAATAGACACATCAGACACAGAGATAAAAAAAATGACAGCAAAAACTTTTGAATATAGAGTTACAATAAGGGCATATCTTGCTTGATCTATATAACTTTTACAAATAACTGTACATAATGTGCAACTTCATATCTACACAATTATCCATCTATTCCTTTTAAGTTTGCATTGCAGGGATACCATATTTCATAGTGCATAGAACTTACTTCCCTGTTTGATACCTTTATGAAACTGACATGCACAAATCCATGATGCTGATTTTTTTTTTTTAGATATTGCAATAACAAGTTACCACAAAAACATGTATACTGCTTCAACTGTATCCAGGACAATGTCACTTTCCACCAGTCACTACATTGGAGGTTTTAGGCACAGTTGGAAGTTCAAATTGATCTTCCATTAGTTTAGTTAACTGGTGGTAGTTGTCAAATAAACAACATTTAGGAAATCATGTAACATCTTCCCAATTATGTCGGTGTCTTCCTGCATTTTAGCATTAAAGCTGAATTCCGGACAAATATAAAATAACACAATTAAAATCAAATTATGGAATCATCAAAAATATCATCACCAAACATACTGGAAGAGAAATGGGCAGCACTCTAAGTCAATAGGGGCTTTATTGCTTTCCCTGTGCTGTCAGTTTAATAACGAACATGTTTACAGGAAGGCAAAGCAGGGTAATGGGCTCCTTCTGCTTCATTACCCAATCAGGGGCTGGGGTGTGTCTTAGAACAGACAGCAGTTACTCACATTAAAAAAAAGTCTGGTCATGCACAGCAAGCTTCGCTGAAAAATGTATTGTAGCACACAGGTACACATTGTCTCGCGTGGATCCTCTTCACTCTGACATGTTTATAGTGGGCTTATTTATAGAGATCTCTCTCTATCTCTATCTATGACTTAGCCCATTATTGGGCAAAACATGTCAGAATGAAGAGGATCCGTGGCAGTATAATGTGTACCTATGTGCTATAATAAATATTTCAGCAAAGCTTGCGATGTGCAAAAATAGCAACTGTGTGTAACTGTGAGTAACTTCTGGGGCAAGCTTTGCTCATAGTTTGCTAGTCTGTGGAGAGTTCTGAACAAAATTTATGTGCTGCCTGGCAGGGTTTTCTGGATCACAAAACTGTCTAAACAGTCTTACAGAACCTTTATCGGGGGTAAACCATCCACCTATATGTATTTCAATTGTGTATTCAGCTGTTTGGCTACAGTTCAGCTTAAAGGAAATGATGAAATTATATAGTCTATTGTGATTGAATGATTCTGGGTTAGAGAAAGGGTGTGTCTAATTTTATTTTATTACACAGGGGGTTATTCACTATTGAGCCGAAGGATACAGCCATAGCTTCAGCTGATCCTTCAACTCTCTTCGGCCGCCAGAGTCCTTCGCGTCAGTCGAACCAAAGGGCTGCTGTACCGGTAGAAGACTCTAGCAGGTGCCAGCCAATAGGAAACAGTTAGGCGGAGCTAGCTGTCACTGCTAGCTCCACCCAATTGATTAGTTTTTTTAATTTATTTGTCTTTTTTTAAATATTTTTTTATTTCCTATTTGTTTTCATGTTTAAAATAATTTGCCAAACAGGAACCTGTTCTTCTTCTGGTGTCAAGCAGTCCTAAATGTCCCTCTCCCAATAAGATAAAAATTCAGGCACCCAGGAAAGAAACCATCTTACCATGCTTAAACTTAAAGAGGAACATTGAATTACACTACCAGGTGAGATACGCTAATTAGTATTTTTCAGTATGCCAATTATAGAAAAAGCTCACAAACACTAAACTAAATAGCTGCACAAGAGATGTATTGGGTTAACTAATCAGTGATCTAATTAGTAATACTGTAACTAATGTTGGTCATATGTGGATTTATCTTTTGGCTGACTCTGTGAATTTCACCCACTGTTCAAGCAAGCTGGAAGGCTTGGAGAGCATCTGAAGCACATTCTGAAAGCTCCTTGCAAAACATAATCAAGCTAATTTATAACAATGAGCAAAAAAATCAATTGCCTAATTACACATCTCAAGGAATTATAATAAATACTTTAACTAGCTGTCATGGGCACCAGTCTGATCAGCTCTGCTTCACATAGCCTCTTCTGTACAGTGGAATTTGATGTTGTGAAATTGCAAAGGTCACTCCCAGCTCTGTGAGAGTATATTGAGATGAAGAAAAGGGATGTGTCCCCAGTGGTTGTCCATGCTCCCAGGAAGTAAACAGTAGTAGGCCTCTGAGCAGGCTTGATCAATGATTTGTCCAGTTTAATCTACCACACAACCAGTAGCATATGTGTTCTTAAAGCTAAACTCTGCAGAAAACCCTGAAAAAAACAGCAACAGTTTCCCACCAAAGCCACTTCTAGCCATTCAGTACTTTATCAGGAACAAAAAGCCTCTAAGACCCTCATTTACTTACCTAAGTCCACTGTCACTTGACCATCCACACTGCCACCTAATGTAGACTAGTGATCACAAACTACTCTGTGCAACTGACTGGTAATGTTTTGCCCCCCTTGTATTGTGATGTCACACTTAACCACTGTAAGACTAGAGGACCCATGTAAGGGTGCTTTAATGTATTCCTTTGACAGCCAATGGAAAGCGATATGTGCACTGCAAGAATTACTCTTCCACGATACAGACCAGAAGAATATGGTATGAGGTTACAGGTAAGAATATAGAGCTTTTGTTAATAAAAAAACATTGATTAACTAGAGGCTTGAAGAGTGGAAAGGGACTGTAGTAAAGCTTTTAATCAGAGCTAAAGTTAAAAATAAAAAATGTAATAGAACATATATTATAAGTCTCTTCTGCCAAAAAACTGCTTCACCTGTGTGCTATAAAACGTCATCTTCCTGTACAATGCCTGTGACACGTGTTCAATCCAATGTACATGCCAGATCCATTTCTGGCAGCTGAAGGATGCTGATAATGGAACCAAGTGCTGGTATAATGTCACCCTAGCATGCATGCATAAAAGATACAGGCTCGGGAGTTACATCCTCAGTGGCCACTCAATGCCTGAAGAAAGACGCTGGACATTGAAGAAGACTAAGAGAAGGTGGCATCGGCTATAAATAGAGCAACAAGTAGGAATGCGGACCTTGCATCGCTTTAGGAGCCAAGCTTACATCTAAGTATGCAAGTATGCTGTAAGTACATTATGGACATTATGAAAAGAGCTTCAGGAACCTACAGTGGATTTCTACTTTACTTAAGGTGATAAAACAAACACTTACATCTGTTTTACAGTTTAATAAAACAGTATCCAGAGTTTCAAGGTGGGTTGCAAAAATGTATTGGTAAGCATCAAACTCATGTAAAAATATGAATCTACACATAATATACTCCATATCATTTTTTGTGAATAGAAAAAACAATGAACTCTAGCAACAGTATTGCCTAGTTATCATTTGCACTCAGTCGAGGTTATAGTTTCTGTAGGCATTTTTAAGAATTACTCAGTCCACATATTCATCATAAGGACATAGATACTGTATCTAAACAAATTACAAATATAACCAACCCAAGTATTTCAGATAGCGTTCATAGCTGTGTTCAAGTATAGCATAAAATAATTTTTGACGTTACTTACCAAACTCCTTGGGAACAGCAACAGAATACACACAGTTGTGTCCAATACTGTAGTTTTTAGGATAGTTTGGTGATAACACAGTGCCTTCTGAGCCAGTAGAGCGACTTCCACACGGAGCTGAAATATAATAAATTTTCTTTTTAGAATACAAGTTTGCAGGTTTTCACTACGGCAATATATGTACTTCCAGACACACAGTTTATACAGCAAGTACAATTTGAATGTCTCAGGGAGGATATACACAGCGTTGTATGATAAGGCAAATACAATTGAAGCAAAAATTGAGCTTCTGACCACATAACCAGACTCTGCAGTTGGTTTGAAAGATAAACCATAATTGCAGAGTTTCACATTTTTCATAAAACAGTTACAATGTTAAGAAAAAGAAAATATGCTATATATATATATATATGAATCTGTATATACTGTCCACCTTTTTGTCACATGCTGTTGTTGCTGTAGGTACAATAGGTACCCAGAATGTTAATGACAGAGCATAAGGGTGAAGAATCGATTGAACATTTCCAAAAAACTTTCTACAGGTGATATAGTGCAGCTTTTCATCATGATACAGGAGCGATGTAAGGGCCAGCAGGAGGAACCATGGTGTGTGGAGGAGATGTGGGCCTTTGGCACTCCCAAAATTATTAATTGACAAAGACTTTTTAGAGGAGGAGACTGCAGTGCTAGAAGACAAAGGAGTTCGGACTCGCTGCCTGCCAGAAAGATAAAAATTCAAATTGTTCCACTGCAGGGTGCAGATAATTACATTTGTTGTGAGAAGCAACAGAGTCACTTTTATGATTTCCTCTGAGATATTTTTTGAGTCGAAAAAGTTTAAACTAATGTCAGGATTTTATTGACATTTTTTTTCTCTCTGGTGAAGGCCCCTGGAGCCCCCTAGTGTAAGGGAGCCTTGAATGCGGGAAGCATCATCTAAGTGGGGGTTAACCAAATACTGAAATGTAAAGTAGCTCCATGCGATTGGCTATGTCCCTATGGGGTGATGAGGTGGAGTAAGACTTCCCATGAAGCCATTCCTAAACTGCACGTGTGTAGACAGGAAGTGGCTTCAAAGAGGCTACAAGAGATCAACAGCACTGAGCTGTAACAAAGGATGAAAAAGGTGAAAACAGTACAGTATTTTATTATTATAAAAGTGTCTATTGTTTATGATAGAAAGTGCTCTAGACAAAATGTCATTCAGATAGGGCTTACACCCATTAGCCATAACATTATAACCACCTGCCTAATATTGAGTTGGTCCCCCTTTTGCCATGTAAATAGCTCTGACCTATGGAAGCATGGACTACATGCACCAAGCCATCAGTAGTAGATCTTTTAAGTCCTGTGAGTTGCGAGGTGGGGTCTTCATAGATTGAACTTGTTTTTCCAGTACATCCCACAGATGGTCAATTGGATTGAGATTTGGAGAATTTGGAGGCCAAGTCAACACCTCAATCTTGTTGTTGGGTTTCTCAAACCATTCTTGATCCATGTTTGCAGTATGGCAGGGCTCTTTATCCTGATGAAAGAGGCCACTTGGCAGGACCCAAAGTTTCCCAGAAAAACATTGCCCAAAGCATCACACTGCCTCCGCTGGCTTGCCTTCTTTCCATAATGCACCCTGGTGCCATCTCTTCTGCAGATAAGTGACATAAACACACCCGGACATTCACATGAGGTAAAAGAAAATATGATTCATCAGATCAGGCCACCTTCTTCCATTGCTCTGTGGTCCATTTCTGATGCTTAAGTGCCCATTGTAGGTGCTTTTGACAGTGGCCATGGATCAACATGGGCACCCTGAGCGTTCTGAAGCTATGCAGCCCGATAGGCAACAAACTGTGATGCACAGTGTGTTCAGACACCTTTCTATCATAACCAGCATTATCTTTTTCAGCAATTTGAGCTACAGTAGCTCTTCTATTGGATTGGACTATAGGGGCCATCCTTTGCTTCCCACGTGCATCAAAGAGCCTTGGCCACCCATGAACCTCTTGCCAGTTCACCGATATTCCTTCCTTGGACCACTTTTGGTAGGTCCTAACCACTGCAGACCAGGAACATGCCACAAGAGGTACAGCTTTGGAGTTGTCTGACCCAGCCGTCTAGCTACTACAATTTCGCCCTGGTCAAGGTCGCTTTAATCCTTATGGCTGCCCATTTTTTCTGCTTCCACCACATCAACTATAGGGACAAAATGTTAATTTGTTGCCTAATATATCCCACTCACTTCCAGATGCCATTGTATCAAGATAATCAATGTTATTTACTTCACCTCTCAGCGGTCATAATATTAAGGCTGATCGGTGTATATCTACTTTAATTATCAAGAGGTTGAACAGAAAATTGGATAGTTCAGCAAAACAAACTCTTAAAGTATATTGACACAATGCCATTTATGCAGAACCATTCTGAACGCCTACCCTTTCAGTTGTACCTCAGTAATGATAAATGTTATTTAGACTTAGGAACAAAAGACTCAACATTTAAAGATATTAGTGTAAAAAACTGAGCTACTTTTCTAAGTGACACATTTGGAGTGTACTGCAGTGAGATAAGTTAATTATGGCTTCAGATCTCCGTATGTCGAGTTACCTCTTGGGAAACATTTGCAGCAATTGAGTATTGTGGAGTGTATCAGTAAATCTGATTTTACTTTTGTGACTGTTTCCAAGAAGTTTACATCCAACAGACAATATTCTCACTACTGCTTTGTTTTCTTCACAGTTAAATCTACTTTATTATTTTATTTCTATGCAAATTAAGTCACAAAGCTGGAGGTGTTGTAAATGACTTTTAGTGTAGTGTTGATTAAATAAATAAGAGCTTGGCTATAAATATGCATATACTGTATATGCAATCTAAGACGCCATACTAAAGATGGGCACACATAGTTTAAAAGACTGCTTGTTAAAATATGCATTTACTGAACAAACATCCTACAAACTAAAACCCTTCCTAAATGGCAGTCACCTTCAAGTAGACCTGTGGCTAGGCAATGGCCATTCAAATATTGAAATATTCTTGACAAGCAGCACATAAGCTTGAAAGCAAACCTCTCTCTGTATCTATGCATTGCAATAAAGGAGCAATTCATTCTTAAAGTTCACAAGAGAAGCAATATCATTACTCAAGTTGGGTTTAAGCACTCTGCTCTCTCCCTTGGTCTTGTGCTCCTGCACTTTGATTACATTCAAGATTAGAAGGGCGGAAGACTGCCAAGTCACTGATAGGAGAGGGGGACAGAATGAGCTACTGATAGAAAACAAAAGTGACATTGTTTTTTGTAAACTTTGAGGAGTATGCTTCTTTAATTTAAACTCTTATGTTTGCCTCATTAGAAAAAATCCCTGCAACATCTTTTTTCACTTGATGTACCCTTCTGGCGGACAGTGGATGTTGAGAAATCTGGGTATGACACACAAAACTGGCTTGCTCTATCAACAGAAAACAAACCTCTACAGGACATGTGAGGGAGCTATAAGTAATGCATGTATAGATGGAGCTCCCTAATGGCCATACCCCCAGCACACCACCCCCCAAGTTGACACTTAGCGCTGGCCGGTATATTTTGAATAGCTGCCTGCTGTGAGAACTGAACGTGCTGCTCTAGGGGGAGGCTGAGGAGCCTTTCACCTCAAAAAGTGGAAGGCATGCAGCGACCCACTGAACACAGGGTCACGACCCACTTTTGGGTCACGGCCCACCAGTCGAGAACCAAGGCATTAGAGCATACTTCAGTACTGCTGTTATAGTACAATACATTAGTATAGTACATTAGCCCAGTATTGTCCATATAGTTGAAAAGATAGTGTTTATGTTATTCATGCTGCAGAGTCATGTCGATGTTGTACACTGGGCGTAGAGGAATATGTATGTTAAAGGCATATGCAAAACTGGTTAATTTGTTTTAAAAATCACAGCCAGATCATGTCAAAAGCGTACCCGCCTCCTCCCACCCAGTGGGCATGACCTATGTGTAATACAATAGACAAATACAGCATTCTTGTCAATCCATCTTTTGGCCGAGCCAATCTCAATCATAGAGATTAGATCCCTGAGGGTATTGTGTACAATGTTCTTAGAAACAGCAATGCAGCTTGAATGATCTGATAGTAGTTCAATCATGCCTGCTCGGTATTGTGAGTAGTCCATAACATCCACTGCTCCGCCTTTATTAGTGGGTTTGATTATAATATTCTTATCAATTTGAGAGATTTGAGAGCAGTGAATTCAGATTTGGTCATGTTCGAATACAGCCTATGTGTACATGTCCTGGTAAGAACATAATGTCTTGTCGAGAAGGAATACAGTTACTTATTATTAAGTTTAGGAGACTGTTCTTGTTTAAACAGTTCAACCTCAAACCCAAAGGTATCAAACCTCCCCATGGGGCAAAATGACAGGCCCTTGCCCAGCAAAATGCACTCACCCTCTGTAAGTTGATACAATAACAAGTGCATCACTGTTCTCTCTTTGGGTGTGCGGGTGACTTTTTTTGGACATTCTTATTTTACAGTAAAGTCACTGGCCTTAAGGACTTTAAATTAAACACTTTTGTTACATGAAAAAGTTAATAATGCCATTCACAAAGATAGGCAGAAAGTCGTATACCCTATATGTATGTATTTATGCTGTGCAGCCTATTGCTCTCTGTTAGTGGCAAATATTTCAAAGAAAGACACCCCAATGACAGCTAGTGGTTTTTCTCTGTGGTAATCCTAGACATGACATTAGTTGTATGTAGGAAAATGTTGCTCTTGGCTATACAACTTTTATATTTAATATATTCTGCCTCTTAAAGCTACTACATATTCACAAATGAATGTTATTAAATCTGTTTGCATCAACAGGTTTAAAAAGTGTGAAATGTATCCTTAGATGCATTGAAAAAATCAGTTTAATTCGCTTTGGCAAACCAGCATTGTAAGGCAGGGCAGCAAAAAGATATAATTTGTAAATGGCATCCATTATCCCATAGACCTATGGAAAACAATTTACATAAATAAAATGCTGTGTCTACGTAATTCTGTAGGCATACATGCATGACTATAGACCATAAGCATAATTTTAGTATTTCAGTGGCTACAACAGATATTTTAAAAACCAGC